GAGTTGAGTAAGTGTAAGTGTAAGTGGGCAGCGATGACACCACACCACATCCACTTCTGCGCCCAGTCCGTCACCTGTCCTGCCCCGAAGAGAGAGAGTGAAAAAAATCACTTAGGGATAGTGTCAGGGAAAAAAAACGATGACAAGAGCGACGGCACCATGGCGCTTAGCAGTTAACGGCAGCCAAGTGGACTTTTGGTGGAATCCGGGGTCGCGCGCGTGATGCCGAGACTAGCAAAAATTTAGCAAACAAAGAGTTGTTGTTACGAAATCGGTTGCGCTGGCGTGATCATGGGGCCGGCCTGACGAGTTTTCGATGGAATAACCATTACCCCATAGTTTGCCCCTGGCCCGGCTTAGTCGCCCCGATGCGCTTGGCCCAAGCAAAAGCCCAGGATTGTCAGGGCTGCGAGCGCTGCTGACCCGACGAAGCTAATGCCAAGGTCGGCCAAGACAGAAATGCAGAAATGCTAAGGAGCCGCGTTGAGATGCACTGCATCATGTACCTTGGCGCTCTCGGCGTTACCTGCAGCAACGCTATGCAGAAATAGGCCCCAGAACAAAGTGCAGAACACTATGGAATTGTCCGCGGCTTGTCTATTTGCCCTACGCACGACGTAGTGGCCAATGGACGGCTGACTGTCCAGCACATCCGGCCGCATCCTCCAGAGCTGGCCCCCTCGAGCCCCCTGATGGTGCAAGAGTGATGAGATCGCCTGTCAGGTACGGGGACGGGAAGCACACGCATGTGGTGTCCGCACGGGCATGTGGGTTCTGCGTCGCTTCCCATTTGCTCAATCTTCAAAAATTGATTTGACCTACAGCAGGAACGGCTGATCATGCTACATTGCTACTGTAGACATTGATATTGTTGTTGTCGAGGTTGCATTCCGGGTGTTGCGGAAATGCCAAATTCGCTGTCTCTGCTCTGCTGTAACTCTCTCAGTTACATCGCTCTCAACTTTATTCATGTAGGCATGTACACACAGACGGCTTGAAGCTTGATTTAGCGTTGGGCGTTCTCGGGCGTTGCAACAGCGAGGGTTTTAAGCATTGGCTAGAATTAGCAGCAAGGGGCAGTGCCACAATGCCAATTAATCCATCGTGAACCGGGAATAAGCGAGCACCATCAGTACAGTATGCTAGCTGGTCGCTGGCTACGCACGCAAGGTCAGGAGATGCTTCCATCATTTTTCACCTAGGTAGTTCATAGGTAGGAGCTGTATTACTTTGATGAACGGCTGAAATTCACGATCTCTGCCATGAACCTACGTATTGACTCATCATTGGTGGCTGAATCGGTACATTGGTACCCCGTGCCTAGACGCCATTCCAGGCCGTTCATGGCGCCGCGGCGGAGGATTCTTGCCCTTAAGGCTGATCAGTCCACATGACTGACTTATTTTTTTTCTTATAGTAATTGCCACCTGGATACTCGCAATTGATCCAGTTGCTAGATTTTTCATCAGACACAGCAACGATTTCGGAAATGGATACTTGGGTAGCCATAAAAATAAGTTTTCTCTCACATTTGATAGTTGTGCAATTGCAATGGACAGTCTCGACAGTCTCGACAGTCAAGTCAAATCAATAAGACTAAGAAAGCTAGCAACAACTTGGCGGCCATCTCGGCTCATTGTCCGAAAAACAATACTAGAAGTTCCAAGTTGCAGTAGCCTATAAGTAATCCGCTCTACCTTATGAACTCCTGTTTGAATCTACCCACACTCCCTCTGCAATGCTATATGGGCCCCGTAGACGAGGTCGCGCATTGTAACAGCATCGACACTTACAAAATATCAATGCGCCGGCCCCTACCTACGTGTTAGCAGATCTCTTTCGATCTGCACTGCATTTTTAGCCCCAAAAGAGAGAACAATCAGGTGCTACCAGTCGAGCCAGTCGCGCCAGTTCAGGTGCTGATGATTAAATACAGGTATTTACGGCTCAATATCTGGAGCGCTCCAAATCACAGACCTACCAGCCCAGCCAGCCAGCCTACGTACAATGAGTATTCCTACGAGTACAGCCCTCGTACTGCACACATGTTACCTGTACGGACGGGGACCTATTGATTGGCTTCGTAAGCTTAGGTAGTATTTTAACGGAACGACCAGCAGACCGTGCATAAGCACTGCTTTTTCAGCCCGTTCAGCAGTGCTTTTGTTTCTAATCCGGAATTCACTGCTTTTTTAGCCCCAAAGGAAAGGACAACAACGTAGCATTGCGCAACAACATGTTGTAAAAAGCAGGCTCTCAAGCTTCTTACATCAGCGCATTCAGTTTCATCAGCGCATTCATCGTCCATGCTCTCTAGACGTTTATTATCGAGATTCTTATCATCAGCAGCAGTTGTTCGGCACCAGTGCCATCCTCACTATAGGTCTACAGGCCAGTACTACTGGTCAGAAAGGACAAGAACTGAAATGGTCCAACGAGGCGATTTCTGACTTCCCGTCTATTGAGCTTGCTCAAGCCTTGCATGTGTGTGTTTTTTCAATTTGAGAACCGAAGTTTCGACGCAAGTTTTTTGATCGGTCTGTTGACTACATCAGATGGCCTGGTTTCCGCCGCATATACCCCAAGGCCATTCGTCGCCTAGATCCCTCGCACTGCACTCGTAAGCCGGGCGGTGTGCACCACAGGATTCTTGATGCAACTTCTTTAAGCAGTTCACTATATCTTGAAGACTCGCAATTACACTTGCTGCAGACTCGCTGGTCGATCTTCGCGACCACCTCTCAGAGGACAATCATGTTTTGAACGTATGTTATATAAGTACGTGATCATGACGAGACTTCTAGGCAGGTAGGTACATGTAGAATCTAGATAAAGCTCTCAGTGACTCGGTGCGGTGCATTTAGACTCGCCAGTCTCTTGTTCTGTCGGACTTATGATATTCCAGTCGTTATCAACGCTTCTTGGTCAATTCCGCCTCGAATATATACAGACCTAAAACATACAGGCAATTATTCACATACCTTATGACATATATCACAGATAATTATACTTCTAATTCACACATACACTACACTACCATAAGATACAACAACCAAATGTTTCAACTATCTCATTTTTTTATATTTTTTCTAAAATCTACTAACTAACTACCCAAACTACTACCAAATACTAAAGTCATAATTACCAAGAACGACAACTGAGAGCAAAAGTATAAAAGGCGAACGAAGCATCAAACTCTTTGGCAAACATGTCCAACACCTCCTTGTTGATGGTAACAGTCAACAACGTCCAGTCATCGTTCGGCAGGTCCGGAGGACTGGGCAGGCCCATCACGCCCTGGATCACCTCGAGCACGTGGATGATGTCGAAGATATCACTTTCGGCCGCTGGTATCAGCTGCCTGGCGACTAGGATGAGAACGTCGAGGTGAGGGTCACAAGCATCTTGTTAATTTTGGGTTTGACAAGGGGGAAGAGTTTGGGATTTTTGTTGATTTGTGTTTGGGTTTGAATGATGAGGAGGAGTCGAATTGATTGGTTCGGTTGAGTTTGAGCTAGAAGCATGACTTGAACTGCTCGACCTGGCCAATGATTATATAGACAGTGCCGCAGTGACTGTTTCGAAACATACTCAGCAATAATTGGATTATTTCAGTACTAAGGTGGCTGTATAGAAACACACTTCAGCAATGAATGGTCATTGTTTGTTCACTGGGACGCACTAGCAAGACAGATGTAAGTAGTACAAAGAAGTTTCAAAAGCTTTATTCGAAAAGTAACGACATTACCTGCTTATTGTAAATACACAATTCATCCCCGTCATTCGGCCACATCAGGGGATAGATTGACGCATACACGCCTTGGGTGACTATGATAATTTTATGGACATCATTCATATCACCAATCTGTATGAGTTTCTTGCCAACTAGGAGGAGAATATCGAAGGCAAGTGATTCGGCCATTTTGTTGCTTTGCGGTAGATAATAAAAGACTTAGATAATGCAAAGTGTTCAAGTGCTTAGGTCTGGAATCTCTAAGTCTCGAAATGATGTCATTTAATATTAACAGTGGGCTTTAGTAACAGTATAGAAACAAGATACAATGTACTAATAAACAATGGTTGTTCTAGTGCTAAGGTGACTGTACAGACACGTACTTGGCAATGAATGGACATTGTTTACTGGAGCGCATAAACAAGTCAACAAATCATAGATAGTACAAAGAAGTTGCAAAGGTTCGTTTTTAACTATTATTTACCTATCTATACCTAAGGGTCAGTCGATTCATATACATTATATATCACAGCGATGATATGATAAACATCATTCTGATCACCGACATGTATGAGTTGTTTGCCAACTAGAACAAGAACTTCGAAGTCGAGTGACTTAGCCATTTTGTTGGATTTGCGGGTGATGCGGAAGAATTGAATGTAATGTGTTTAGATGCTTGCTGGGGTTGGTGCTAGGGTCTCTGGAATACAAGTCCTGAGAATCCCGGCTGCGGAATGACGTTATTAAATATTGACAATGTGCTGTGGTTATAGCAAAGAAACGTGCTCGGCTATTGAAGGGTCAGTGTTGTTCAATGGACCGTAATAGTAAGATAAAGAGTTTGTTCCAAACAGAATCTTGGATGAATAGGACGTCGCAAAGTGCTGCAGTTACGTTGTGGCACAAAGGAGCCGGCATTACGGCACCCAAGAGGAGCTATCTTAGTATGATGAGGTAGGTGGCTCACGGTAGAAGTCATGACCTCCCATCTTGGTAGCTTGACTTACTATAGGAGCGAGGAGTAATTAATATCTTCAAGAACCTTACGATACCCAGGCAGATAGCCATATCGTTGTCCGCTTGCGGCATGCTCTCACACATAACACCACCATCTCCCACCAAGCAAGCAAACATCACCGAATTTTCAAATTTCTGCCGGGCGGGCTGGGCTGGGCTGGGCCAGCTCTCTGCCCCAGACATCGTTATAACGTCGACCAGTAGCTCCATTGCCATACGTCAGACTCATTTGGAATGAGAGGTGGTGCAGGGTCTCATAGCTCAGTTGGTCAGAGCGTTCGCACCACTATCTATCCGTGAATGGGCTTGCCTTACAAGCAAGCAAACATTCCGTGATACGTTGGTCTATGCGAAGGTCGAGAGTTCAAGCCTCTCTGGGACCAACCTGTTTCTTTTGTCTTTTGTGATAAAACCTCTAACTATCTACAAGAATAACTGTGTGCAAGGAAAGGGCAAGCGTCTCGCGCCAGACGTCTTGATAAGGATGAAAACATTATATAAAACCTCTTATCTGCCTGCACGTTCTTTATTTTGCCTTGGTGAGTGAGTACGTACCTAGCCAGGGCTAGCTTGCCGATATAGACGGATAAGGATGTCATGTCACTTGTAAAAGATCACATTGCATAATAGGATTCGATAGAGATGAGAGAGATATCTATCTACCTAGACAATTAAATCTTGAATTAACTTGCATACAGATTGATTTTTTCTTTTTTTGAGACTTCCTTTTCGAAAAAAATGACACCAAATCCAGACTATGTATGTATGTATATGGCATGTATGCGTATTGTGTGTATGAAACACGGCTTGGTGTCCTTGCGAGACAACCTCACACTATAGATGACAGACATCGTGTATCAAAAGGAAAAGAAACGACACCAAATCACTTTTTCACAAATCAAAACTCTCTTTCATCAGCAGCAGTAGGTGCAGTTGCGCAAGATGTCCACAGTCCGTCCCATAAGATGAGCGGGCAGATTGACTCAGGCAAGGCTAGCACAGCACTCTTACTTAGCAATACCCATGCAGGCGAAGTACTCCTTGAAGGCATTGACCTCAACCGCAAACACGCCCTCGCGGTCCAGCAGCGACGCCGGGCGCCAGTACTCGGACTCGACGCGCGTCAGGATGCCCGGGTAGCTGGTGAGGCCGGTGGGCTCGGTGACGCCCCAGGGGTTGCGCACGATGATGTACTGCTTCTCGCCCTGGCCGACCGAGGACCAGCCGAGCACCGAGTAGGCGTGGTTGGCGACGAGGTTGCAGCCGCGGTAGGCGCCGCCGTTGTACGTCGCGTGCGTCCACGCCACCATGGGGCAGATGGTGCGGTGGTTGACGCTGCAGCTGCGGATCAGCCCGATCAGGTCCTTGGCCCCGTGCTTGTCGGTGAAGAAGTACTGCGGCTCGCGCCCGTTGATCTGCGCCATCGCTTTCACCGGGTCGCCGTGGTGCAGCTGCGTGATGTCGACGCGCTGCACCTGGTGGTCGCCGCTGAGCACCACCGCCTTGCCGCTGCTGCGCTCGGCGTTGTTGTTCTTGTTGTCGCCCTCGCTGATCCACTTGGCGAAGGCCTTTTCGTACAGCGCCGGCCACATCGCCGTGCCGTCGCTGGCGTGGCAGTACACGAAGTCCTCGCTGGAGTTGTTCATCGGCACGTGGTAGTCGACCTCGACCGTCTGGGTCTTGTTGTTCATGCGGCCGCCCTTGTCGTGGAACTTGACGGCGAAGCGGCGGCGGCCCTCTTCGGAGTTGTGGTGTTCGTAGGGCATCGGCATGCTCGTCGCGCGGTTGATGATCACCGGGTCCGCCCAGTAGACGGAGAACAGCGCGGCGACGAACCAGCTGTTGGCCGTGGCGCCCTGCACCGGGTCGTCGAACTTGCGGCGCATGTACTGCGACTCGTGGGTGAGCTGGAACTCGCGGTTGCCGTCGTAGTCGAGCAGGGAGTTGAAGTCGTTGATCTTGTCACGGCGCATGTGGTGGCGCATGCGAGCCATGACGATCTCGCGGGCGTCGCGCCACGAGCTGTTGGGGGGCGTGAAACGGCTCTCCTGCTTTTCGCGTCGGAAGGGCAGGCAGAAGTCGTTGATCGTCTGAGTGACCTCTCGGTTGCACACGGTTCGAGCAACGTCCTGAGCGTGCAGGACGATGTGCAGCTTGTTGTTGACAATGTTAGCTCGCTTGATGCGGACGTTGCCCAAGTCCTGCAGGCCAATGTCCTCGAGGTCGTTCAGCTTGTCGAGGCGGCTGAGATCCGGAGTGACGAGATCCTTCTCCTTGAGGATCTTCATATCTTTCTCCTCGAGCTCCTCTGCCTCACGTTCGTCCTTGTTCAACTTGAGGCCGGCGTAGAGGACCGACTTGTGCTTCATGTCGAAGAGCTCTTCATAATCGGTCTGAAGAGTGTCCTGGACAATGCGAACTGCGGTTATGGATCGGCGATCGATCTTGTGGCCGATCATGTTCTCGGCGAGAGAAAAAGGGTTGATGCAACCAACAGCCAGATCCTTGGGCTGGGGGTCCGACTCGGGTTCATCGTTCTTCCCTGAGCGGTTTCGCATGTCGCTCAGATCAACATAGCCCTCGGGGGCTGGCCGAGACGGCAAAGTAGTCTGTTCCAACTTTCTTCCCGTAAGCGCCTCGAAGAGGACGTAAGGATCAATAGACCCTCGGGGTCCGTTGGTAGGAGTCTGAGAACGAGATGCAACCATTTTGACGGTGAATATATGAGATAGTCAAGTGGACTAAGATGATGATTCTGGCTGTTGCGAATAGGAGCTGAATAGACCAAGAGATGGGATGCCTTGTAGACCGAGATGAGAAGTTTAGCAATCGGGTACGGATGGAGGCTCTTTATGTGCGTCCATCACCCTCCCTCGGCCTCGATGAGAGGCCCGAGGAAGACACCCTCAGTAATCGGAGCGATGCATTCCATATTCTTGACATCACAAATCCACTTGCAGATGTCCTGACTGAGCCAATACATCTCGATACACATGCGACCCCGCAGCTGCACCTCCTCTTCGCTCGACTTCATGTCATGTCGAAAACAAGTATTTTCTTCCATAAGCACCAAAACGTTGCGTTGTCGACAGGTCCGAATGCCCGATCAAAGTTTGCAATACCGTAAAAACCAAAAGCACGACAGTGGAGCTGATGGATGGGGTTAAGCTGGTCGTATTCTGACCATGGCTAGAACGTGACCTCATATTAACACCACAATGCACCGTGAATCGGCATTTGACTGCTGTTCCGAACAACTTCTAAATGCTCTAAATTGACTGCTAGGAATGCAAATTTAGTTCTGGGTAATAGAGGCAATTGGTTGAGTGATGTGATCGACTTACTACACGAATCATCAATCTGTTTCATCTGACTGAAGCTATGAGTGAGCCCGGATCTTGCTTAGGGGTCGGGCGGCTGTAGGTAGGGACCGCCCCGTCACATTAGATCTAAGCTGTTCAGGGGTTACATGGGAACAATTCATGTTTCTATCATTTCGGCCCGCTCGAAGTTTATTCGACTATCCAACAAGGTTCTCATTTCCCCAGGATCTGCAAGATTCCGCTTCAGGAGAACCTTACGCCTTGCATCAATATGCTCGAAGAAAGCTAAAACGATGTCAGTGTGCATAAGTAGTAGAAGCTGAGAGATGAGAAGCCTTCTGTTGAAACATAGGCTGGTGTGTATCATGTTATAGATATCCATGACGGCAAACACGAAGCGAATTTAGAACCTATACGAGGATTATTAGGAGGCGAATTTATAGAATTAACAACCTACGTAAGAAGAAAGGAGCGTTAAGGGCTTCGCATTTCAACAATAATATCTGAGTAGCTGTTGTATTACACCGGAGGCAGTTGGACTATTTCAACAAGGTCAGACAGAAGATAACATATGACTCGACAAAAAAGATATGTTGTTGAGAGCTGCAGGATTCGGACCTGCGCGGTTTCCCATCGCGGGATTTATGGTAAACCAGACTTGAAGCCCGGTATAACCTAAACACGACGCCTTAACCACTCGGCCAAACTCCCAGAAACAATGCAATGAATGGTATGAATAGGAGGATTCAAACCTCCATCACTGGACTCGCGGGGAATCGAACCCCGGACCACTCCCATGCTAAGGGAGTATTATACCACTAAACCACAAGCCCATTAAATGGGAAGTGATGAGCTTCCTTGGCAAACCGGCTGCTTGCAGCAGTTTTTGATCGGCCTTTTTCGTTGGGCTAGTATAGTGGTTGCGAATAGTGTCAAAGCGGGCCAGTGGGTAAAGTTGTGCTGGGTTAGATCAGTGGAGGTGATGAGGGCGCTAAGGCGCCAGACACGTGGTAACGTCCACATCCGTAAACTGTACTGACGTCGGTGGTTGTTAGTGAACACAGCTGTACTACAAGATAGCATGGCAGGAGACCCGACGAGTAAAGGTGACAAAAACAACCGCTTTGGATGGGTAGACTTGGTGGGTCTATACAGGAGTTCAAGTTGCTTGCATATCTGATCATTCCCATTTGACACACAACTTGCATGAAACTTTAAATCTGCATTAGCGGCTGGGAAGGTTAGCACCAGCGCTGGTAGCATTGTAGCGAAACGGTGTACAGGTAGCAACAAGCTTGCTGGTCTTTGGCTGGGATAGAATCAAGCAGATATTCTTCCACACGAGGGATGGTTCATCGCCCGGAAACAAGATGGAACATGGATCATTGAAAGACATGCGCGATGTGGTCAGCGACAATTGCAAGGATATATTAGCAAATGAGGCGCATTCCACGCGTTTCTTGGTCGTACTTCGCTGCATGTGTTCAAGTTGCACAAACCAGGTTCTTCTGCTGTCTCCTGAAATGATTCCATGCGTCTCGACTGGAATGTCGCAAGACAAGCTCGCGTCCCTCCTCTCGAAAGCGAGCGAAACATCTAGTGAGATATTCAACGTTGCTCGGGCGAGTAACTACGTAAGAAAGACAGAATGTTACTTGGCGCATCGCTACAATGTATAGAATAAGCTCGTCGTGGGAAGTGTGATGGGCGGTATTTACATACGTATCAGCTGGCCCTCGGGCAGGCGATAGGGAGATTGGTTCTTCACCTCTTCGCGGTCCATCATGACCAGATGGGTGGATATGGAGACACTGGCTTGGAAGGTGGAGGGACACTCTCGCGAGCCACAGTTATTCCGGCCGGTTCTCATGTCCAAAACGTAGGTGAATTGGTCGCGAGACTTGCAGCGTTTGCAGACGGGGTGGGAGATGGCATAAGCGAGGCGGTGGTAGTTGACGTCTCTCAAGGGGATACGGGTAGTGGAATAGACGCGCCTGATCTGGCCCAGGACCCTCTGAGACAATTCCTTGAACAGACAATAGCGGAGCAGCTGGTAGTCT